CACTCAGGGAACGAGCCGAGAAAGCTGCTGCCGCCAATGGAAACATCAAACTGGTACCACGCGATCACGTGTACGTTTCACTGCACTTACGTGAACTTAATTTCATTTGCAAACTTTTTATCGTGGATATTTATTGGTAGCAAGTTTATTGACAGTTAGGATCCTTCACTCGACCAATGAGATATGATTATTTCAGTGTTAGATAAAAAGAAAATATCACAAAATCGTGAATGCTGTCATTTACGTACCACATATGCGGGTGAAAAGGTAAGAGTCTTCAAGCCGAACATTTACTTTCATGTTGGAAACATGTTCAGTGCATTGAAGAAGAAACAAGCAATGCAAGACCATTTAGCGTTTAACGCGACAGCGTGAAAGAGTTTGTATGAAACTCGTCCAGGTTTCTCATAATAGGTTTGCGGCAGACTTCGGGTGAGGCCCCGCCGATCTAACAGGGGCGTGCGGCAGACTCGGAGGCTCCCACTTTACGCTTCGACCGACGACGCCTGAAAGGCCTCCATGTAGAACATTTCAATTTATTTGCAAGCCGGTCTACCCGTGCGGCGTTGCACGTGTCGTCATTTTTGGGTACGACTAACGCGTTCATGGAGCAGACACGGACATTTCATAAGACACAGACAAGCATTTAATTGAATCTAGGGCAAGGGAAGGGCTTACAAAAATTAAGAGGACAAACACGAATAAGCGCGATGAAAAGAATAGCTACAAAAGCCATCCATGCTCTAAGAAAACAGTACAACAGGTACAATCAAACACAACGCGGAATGTTAATGAAATAACGACATAATGAAAACCAAAAATAGATACAAAAATAAAATTAAAAAAAGTCATGCTTACGCTTCTGACTTCGTACGTGCGACGCAGCGCAAACTAAAGCAAACATTTAAAAGCAGGGAATAATAAAAAAACAGGTGAAAAATCACTATAAAAAGTCCCATACGAACCAGTCCAGCTCTTGGTACACGTAGGGGAGTTGACGGGGTTCTACTGAAAGTCTCGCCAGCTTACTAGGAGGCGACGAGGGTGCCCGGAGTTGCAGCCGTCTCAATACATTCTGCCGGACACTCCATGCTCGCCGCCTACGCGAGACTCGCGCGACACCGACGACCGCGCTTCTCGTCGCTGGTTGAACGTCAACTGCCGAGGCAGTCAAATTCTCTTCGGGGCGTGCGCTTCCGCCTCGAGGTCATTTTACCCGAACACATCCGTGCTCCCCTCGCTGCAGGTGTAGGCAAGACGTGACGGCGCCGTTTGCCGGGTATAGTTAGTTGCCGGTAGTCTTTTCCCAACCCAAAGGCGAAGGGTTGCGCGGACGAGAATGCTAGGCGTTTGTGATAACTTAAGGTTGCACTCAATTAGCCAGATGGTTCTGTGCTAACCTGAGCACTGGGGGGTCAGGACTTCTCAAGAGGTTCCTACAGCTTTTACAAGTCCTTCTCATAACGTTGCTGTTTTGCAGTTACACTGCAATTACATTTTCTATTAGGATTCAATTTCAACACAGAAAGCAACGCGCTGCTTGCGGAGCATGAGCGTCACGACGACATTCGGGGCTTCAAATTGAGCTGCCTGAATTATGCCCATCCGAGGGGAATATGAAAGGCGGATACATGTTGTATAGACGGTGTAGTGTTTGTGCAGAAAGAATAATTTTAACGAACAAATGGGCGAATCTTCTCGACGAAATGAATTGAAACGCATCTTTTGTATGTGTGCAGTGATGAAGAAGAGCCCAACGTGGTTATTCCGATTAAGTCGAAGAAGGAGTATTCGCAGATCGACAGGGCAACCGAACATCGAGTTCGCGTGCTTCTGTACCTGAGCGTTCTGTACGGTGCCAACATTGGGACCATCACGACCATCACCAGTGGAGCTTCCAACGTGGTCTTCAAGTTCGTCATTGAAGAGTAGGTTAACACAACATATCTACGGCATCCTTGTTCAAAGAGCTCATAGACAATACAAATTTGTTGAAGAGACAAGTAGAAAAGCTATCCAACACAGTAGCCCGCTGCAGGTCAAATTTCTTTGAAGCATCGGTTGTAGGCAATAGTATGCGCATGGAGCTGTGGTAAGATTAGATATTTGTCTGCTGTTGCAGCCTGTACAAGGAACGAGCACCAGTTGACTACGCACTGTGGATGTTCTTTGCCCTGCCAATCGCCCTGATTGGAACTGTCCTAGTATTTATAATCGTGGTGCCGGTATTCTTCTCTTGCAAGAGGTACGTACATTGGAATTGCATAAAAATGCCTGTAGAAAGTTAACATTTTGCAAAAAAATTAAAAATAAAATGGTGTACAGCTCGTATCATTTTGGTCACTTGCATCTGATATACAGCGTGCTTCAAGAAATGTGTACACTATTATCTAAAAGTTACAGAAAGGGGCAGCTGTAGGGCACCTGTGGCATTCTTTTCACCTGGGCAGAAGCCATCTACAGATGAGTACGAACGTTAATTATAGCAGTACTTAAAAAAAATAAAGCTATTCACATTCAGGCTGGGGAAATAGCCGCTGGGTCCATTGGGCAAATCAAAGTCCTTCCTACAAGTAATCTATAGTCACTTTAGAAATCTGGAAAGGTGGCCACTGGTAATTACAACGGAGTGATGAAGTCCGGCTAATTTAGCTGGCGAAAACAAAACCGACGTACCAAACATAGCATCTACCACTCCTTTAGACAGCGCCCTCAATGACGACCTTGATTCGCTCGCATTGGGAGAGAAAAATAAACGAGCGTCAATAACCGGCCACGAAGCGAAGTACTTAGATTGACGATTTCTAAGGTCAAGGGAAACGGCGCTATCATTGAGGGCATTGTCGAAGTGAATGGCAGATGCGCTCTTTGCTGGGTCGGTCTCGGTTTCGCAAGCTAAATTTGCTAGATTTAATCACTACGCGGTAATTGCCAGTGGCCACCTTTCCAAAAATTCCAAAGTGGCTATGGACTACTTGTAGGAATGACTTTGATTCGCCCATTGGACTCTAAGGGCTATTTCCACTGGTTAAAAACTGATTGTTTGCATTTCTGTAATTCGTACCATAATTAATGTTTGTACACATGTGAATATGTCTTCTGGCAAAGTAAAAGGAACGCCGCAGGTAGTACGCAGATGCCTTCTTCCTTTAATTAGAAAACATTTTATCGGACACATTTCTTGAAACACCCTGTATGTGCAGCGTGTTATCTCATGCAAAGCTGCATTCACGCAACTTGAATAATTTCAGCCCAAACCTCGGGAAAGATAGCAGTAACTACGCAATGGCAGCAATTCGTCGCAACTACATGGCACTCGGACCAATCAGGTAAGCTGTAGAACTGTTCAAGTGTTCAAAGAGATATATCAGGGCTAAGTGACTTCCGCATTAAAAGAGTGCTTTTCTCTCATTGATAAGATCAATAAAGCGACTTTCGTAGAGCGAAAATCGCAATCGTAGAGCTTTAAATTCATTTAGCTCTGTACAAACTAAATCGAAACAACGATGGTCACGTCAACACGCAGTGGTTAAAAGAAGTGTTTTCTCCAATAATGGAGCCCACCCGCACCACGTATAGTAAGCCCACCTGACTCTGTTACAATAATATTATATATATATATATATATATATATATATATATATATATATATATATATATATATATATATATATATATATATATATATATATATATATATATATAGTGAAGGCATGGGATATGGCACAACGGGAGCGTTGTCAACAAGGATAAATATATTTATTTCCCAACAGTTTCGGGAGGGGTCCTCCCTTCATCAGGGGATAACTCATCTCCTGAGGAAGGGAGAACCCCTCCCGAAACTGACCCTGAGGAAGGGAGGACCCCTCCCGAAACTGTTGGGAAATAAATATATTTATCCTTGTTGACAACGCTCCCGTTGTGCCATATACCTTCACGAAGACTAACTGGCCCATTGAATATATATATATATATATATATATATTGTAATGCTCCTGCCACGTTTGAATAACGCATGATTGACACAGTTCTACGCGGCCTAAAATAGAAAACATGTCTCTGTTATCTAGGTGACATCGCAATTTTCTCCTCTTCTTTTCGTCAGCATCTTGATCGTTTAGACAATGTTTCGACGTGTATTTCTAATGCTGGACTTCAGCTGAACACCAAGAAATGCCACTTCGCCACCAAGAACGTCAAGGTGTTGGGCCACCTTGTCAGCAAAGATCGTGTTCGCCCGGATCCTGACAAGTTTGCTGCCGTGATACGCTTCCCTCGGCCAGAAAATCAGAAACACCTACGAAGTTTCCTGGGCCTTGCGTCCTACTTCCGCCGCTTCATTAGCCATTTTGCTGCTATAGCGTCGCCACTGCACAAGCTGCTGACATCCGGATCAACTTTTGCTTGGAACGACGACTGCGAGCGTGCCTTTCAAGCCCTCAAACATGCTTTAACATCAGACCCTGTTCTGTGTCATTTCGACGAGAACGCACCTACATGTCTCCACACCGACGCGAGTGGCCAAGGCATTGGTGCAGTTCTTCTACAGCGGGATGCTACTTCACGACTTCACGGGAAAGAGTTATTGCGTATGCTAGTCGTGCTCTTACGGCTGCTGAACAAAACTACTTCATAACTGAGCAGGAGTGCCTTGCTGTCGTCTGGGCCATACAAAAATTTCGACCATATCTTTACGGACGCCACATCACAGTTAATACAGACCATCACGCCTTGTGCTGGCTATCGTCACTGAAAAACTTGTCTGGTCGCCTCGGTCGTCGGGTGCTCCGCCTACAAGAGTACGATTTTGACGTCATCTATAAGTCTGGCAAAAGACACCAAGATGCAGATGCTCTCTCTCGCTGCCCCCTTCCACTGTCACCGTCGAGTACGTCAGGTGATTACTCGTCTGGTGGGCAAAACACTGCGTCACCCCTCACATTATCACAACTTGCGGTTATCGGCACGCCAGCTTCAAATCGCTACACCGAGTCTGCCACGCGCCAGCGTGATGATCCATATTGCAATAGCATTGTTCAACGCCTAAATGGTACATCACCTACTCCTAATGCTAGATTGCACCGACAACTACGGCAATTTAAGCTCGATAACAATGTGCTCCATCGTTACGTTTACACTACTGATGGACACCGCTGGGTTCCAGTACTTCCGCGTTCTCTACGTCACCAAGTCCTCGAAGCCTTTCACGACGACCCATGTGCAGGCCACTTGGGATTTCACAAAACACAAAGCCGCATCAGGAAACGTTTCTTCTGGCCTGGCATCTCTACTTTTGTGGCCAAGTACGTTGCATCTTGCCATCTGTGTCAACGGCGGAAGCGACCAACTTCGTCTCCTGCTGGCCTTCTGCAACCCATCCCGTGTCCCGAGACACCTTTCGCCATCGTTGGCATAGACCTACTATAGGACCTCTCCCCATCACGCCAGCAGGTAATCGTTGGATTGTGACTGCTGTCGATCACCTGACACGGTACGCAGAGACTGCTGCACTACGCACAAGTTCTGCTTCAGACGTCACAGACTTCTTTCTCAGGGTTCATATCCCGGCTGCGGCGGCTGCATTTGCGATGAAGGCGCAAATGTTGTAGGCCCGTGTGCTCAGATTTGGGTGCACGTTAAAGAACCCCAGGTGGTCGAAATTTCCGGAGCCCTCCACTACGGCGTCTCTCATAATCATATAGTGGTTTTGGGACGTTAAACCCCACACATCAATCAATCAAATCAGTCAATCAATCAGACTTCTTTCTCAACGCCATTGTATTGCGTCACGGTGCCCCTCGCGTCCTCCTGAGTGATCGCGGCAAGACATTCCTGTCCACCATAATCGAAACCCTGCTCGCAACCTGAGGTATACAGTACATAAGACGACGTCAGCCTACCACCCCCAAACTAATGGGCTGACAGAGAGATTCCATCGGACACTAATAGACATGCTATCGATGTACATCGCACCAAACCACGACAACTGGGATACGATTTTGCCTTTTGTGACGTTTGCCCATAACACCGCTGTTCAAAGAACTACTGGCTACTCGCCTTTCTACCTCGTGTACGGCCGTACACCGACATTCACCATCGACGTCTCCTTTCTAAATGTTCCAACTGACTCCTCGGCAACCGTATCAGAGCAGTTCATCACAAGTCTCGAGGAATGTCGGAAACGGGCTCGCCTTAATACAGAAGCCAATCAGCAAGACCGCAAGCAACGCTACGACAGCTCTCATCGCGACGTCTCCTTCAGTCCGGGGGATGAAGTGGTGCTTTGGACGCCCATTGGTACTCCAGGATTGTGTGATAAATTTCAGTCACATTTCATTGGACCCTATACAATCAACGAACAAACGTCACCAGTGAACTACCGTGTCACTCCCAGCGACCTTTCTTCGGATCGTCGCTGTCGTGGTTCGGAGATTGTCCACGTATCGCGTCTGAAGCCATTCGTTCGACGTTTCGTTTCCGTCTAAGACGCGTCCTGGCTGGCCGCTCAAGCGTGGGGGGGAAATAAGTTTGAGCATTATTCATGCGCGTCATCTTGTCATATGTACATACTCATCATCATCAGTCTGACCTGTGTTGTGGGGCAGAGGCTCTACAAGTAAAAGAAGTGTCTTGCAGCAAAAACGTTGCCTTACAATATATATATATATATATATATATTCTGAGTACTAGTGAACGAACGACATATCACAGTTTATTTTTCTCATGTATGGAAATTAATAAGTCTCCCTTGAAAAGAAAAAAATACCTCTTACCGTGTTTTTTTGGAGTACTGAATAGTAGTGTGGTAGGTTATAGAAACGTATCCCTTAAAAGTAAAGCGTATTTCTCAAACGATGGTACAGAAGTAAGTTTGTTGAATATGCAAGAACAGATCAAGGTCATCTATTTTTTTGTTTTTCACTAAGTCCTCACAGCATGTTTGAGCAGTTTACAGCAGCGTTCTCACTCTTAGGTGTTTTCTAATGAATACCACAGATTCCACGAAGTGGCAGTTCTGCTACTTTTCATATTGCTGGTCTTTCTCTGGCTCTTCCGCGACCCTATGTTTGCCAGGGGATGGGCGACGTACTTCGGAGTCATGTGAGTACACCGGTAAATTACGCATTCATTCAATATCTGAGCTTACCATCCGATGAATGGGCAGTGATTATTTAGTTCATGCACAGAGCACACGTAATATTCTAGTGATAACCCCGTTTCTCATACGCACTTCTCATGTTACATTGCACCAAGTTTGAATGTAATACAAAAGAGAGCAGATGAGGTTGCCGTGCAAGTATTCCGAATTTTATGTACGTGCTGCATGAAATTATGCGTCATTCTATAACAAAGTAAACACGACAGGTACGATGAAAAATATTTTGTTATATGCAGACTCGTTGTGTAATGGGGCATCGTGCCGCACACAGGGTACATACTCACACGTTTCCGTCAGTTTTGTATCAGATTAAATATGAAAACCAGGATTTTTGCCAGAAATATCTTTCAGGCTGGGAAGGAAGGGGGTTCAGTCGTACTCTAGGTATGTTTGTACGTGTGTTTGTGTGTGAGCATGGATATAAACGCAAGCAAAATTGAAATTTTTCGGAGTGGGAGAGTTAAACTCCCCCACCAACCATTTGGCTGCGCCCACGATAGAAACCAACACATATGCCACTTATTCACACACCTTTGGTGATAACGTATGTTTTCCTAACTCGATGGCTCAGTATTCTCTTCTTTGAGTATAAAAATGTTTTCTTGGCACTATACAACGTGCTCATCAAAACGTCAATATTACGATGGCACGAAGAAGTTAAACTGATTCGAAAAAAAAACAGCCTAGTGAATGAAAGCAGTGGTCATTGAAAAAAAACATGACTCAATATCATTCTTCAATGCAAGCGTCTATGCAGAATCGGTCCCCGTTTCCCACCGCAGAAAGCCAAAGGACGCCACTGCAGTGATGATACCGGTTATTCTGCTGTTTATGATTCCTTCGAGGCCTCGGGAGGGCTTCAGAGGCCCAGTCCTGTTGACATGGAAAATGGTCCAGGCCAAGCTGCAGTGGAGCGTCATCCTTCTCATAGGCAGCGGCTTCGCCATTGCTGAAGCCATGCGCGTAAGCAAAAAGTATAGAGTGTTAGCACATACGAACCTAACTTTAAGACAGTGCTCTATAGGGATTACGTTGTGCAAAAACGACTGGTCGTTCTTCGTCTCATGCTTAAAAGGACCCTAATCTACCCCGAGCTCAAGAACGAAAGAGGTTTCCTTCTCACCTGCACTGATCTTCCTCCAAATGCAATGTCAACCTCACCACTCATTTCTTAGTAAAATACAATGACAATGTCAGCACTAAGCGTTCAAGATGTCATGACTTCGTGCTTTTCGGATACACAGCTATCTCCATTCGCACAGTTGAAAACGCACGAAACGAAGTGAAGTCAGTTTGTCATGTAGTACAGGGATGCGAGACAAGGCAGAATGGACGTGTAAGTGCATGCCGCAGCAGCGTATTGAAAACCGATACCTCGTATATGAATCAATAGAGAACGTACTTGCTAATAACGTCATGTGAACAATGCCTACGTCACGATTTGCATCGAAAAGACGGGAAGCACCAGGAGAGAAGGAATCGTTCGTTTTCTGTATTTTCCGAGGTTCTTTAGGGGCCCTTCGGGTTTATTTTGTTGTGGCAAAATGGGCACTTACGCTACCAATACATGGATCAGGTAACGCAAGCGATTTGTCCACATTTATTTAAAGCTTCTCTCTATACAAACTTGATCCCATCAAAGTGAACTCACTTTGGCAGTGAACTCAAAGGCCGACGAATGAGAGGAGGGGAACGAAACTATACAGGTGGCGTTAGCTTTGCAGACCAGGACTGCGGTTTCGCTTGAGTGAATCATCCGCCTAAGCGTATCTTTCTGAGGCGTTTCATTAACCTGCATAAAATTCGGGACCTCGCGCAGAAGGATTTCAATAACAGTCAGCGGCTTCCACCACACTTATTTACCCGAAAATCAAGCTAGTTTTACTGTTATTATACAACGTAAAGTGAAATTTTGTGAGGGTAACGGTTGCGTAAAGGCCACTCACACTTTTACTACGAAAATAGCTCAATCGGTAGGTTATAAAAAACAACAGTGAAGAACTTAAAATAATGTTAATTTCTTTCTTTATGAAAATTTTATGGATCCCAAAAAATGTCATGAAAAAAAGGCTCAGTAAGTTTCTGGATCGAGAAGGCCATGCGAAAGATTATTATCTCCAGTTGATTTTTTAGAAGCAACTGGAAATATTAGGCGGCCGGATAAGCAGCGGACCAAGAATTTTGTCCTGATCCTTGAATAGAATCCATCCTATTTTTTATTTCCTTCGTCCCTTCCCTCCATACCCGCCTTTCTTTCTTTCTTCCCCTTCCTCCCTTTCCATCTTTCTTTCTTCCCCTCCCTCCCTTTCCATTTTTATTTCTTTCTTCCTTCCCCTCCCTCCCTCTCCGTCTTTATTTCTTTCTTCCTTCCCCTCTCTCCCCATCTTTCTTTCTTTCCGTCCATCCTTTCCTTCTTTCAGTCCGCCTTACCTTAATTCCGTCGTCCTTTCTTTTTTTCCGTCAGTCCTTTCCTTCTTTACGTCCGTCCTGTCCTTCTTTCCGTTCATCCGTCCATCGCTCCTTCCTTCCATTTCTTCCCTTTCCTCCCTTTCTTCCATTTTCGTACTTTCTTTCTTTCCTCCTTTCCTTTCTTTCTTTCTACACCAAGTATACACTACACCAGACTTCATAAATTTCCAGGTTTCTCTCGCGAACCCTTGCAAGTACAAGGACTTGCGTTCGCCTGCGCATCAAATAATAATAAAAAAACCCCGGCAGATCCCACTTACCTTGAAAATCGGTGTTATGCGAAGCATGCGGGTAGAAGGTAATTGAGTTGTATAATAAATGCGAAGCATTTCTTGGCGAACTTCGGCAACTTTGAGTGTATCTATCTAGCCGCTTACGTTTGGATGTTCTCGTTGTCGCCCCCTTAACTTGGCGTGAACAAAAATTAGCATGGGAGGGTAAGATGGTTCTACGAATATTAGGCACTGGTCAAGACATGAGTAACGTCACAATCCCGTCGCGTACGTCGTCAAACACTTCCTGCCAGACAGTGGCACATACTTACCGGCGGGTATGTGCCGCTTGTATGTATGTGCCACAGGTGATAGACACTTAGCATCCACCCAGGAACAACGAGAACACACATCGGCAGTTTTAAAGCGCGAGCGTTAAGAAATACCTGACATCGGTTGCGTAGACCCGACGAATGCAAAGAATAAATGTCAGGGTCTCAGCTGGAATCTAACCCAAGCATTCTGCGTGGCAATGAAGCATTCTACCACAGAGCTACTCCAGGTCTCGGAACTAATTTTCAAATAGACGCTAATCGTCGTGAAACATCAATAGTGGTTGCAGTGCTGCCTACTCAATTTTATAAACATTACATACTGTTGTGATCCGCCTCCATGGCATGGCGCTGCTTAGACGTGAGATGGTTGCTGGACAGCGCTCTCAGAGGTGAGCCAAAAGCGACAACGGCACGCTAACCGTACTTGGATTTTTGCGGTGGTGACGTCTCCCCTCGTGGAACCCTCTGAACTTACCCGCCCGACTGACAGCCTAGCAAGGGCTGTTTACAATCGAAGCGGCTTAAAAAGGGTGGTCATCTTTGCACGTCTTTGCTCGTCGGAGTGCCGCGGACAAGCGACTGAGGTCCATGTTCGAGTGCGTTGTCACGTTCTCTGTGGTGCCGCCTTGTCAACGTTTCTACAAACGTGGCTTGCGTCGCGCCATTGACTCCTCGCTGCAACGGATCACGGACTTGATTTCTACGTAGAACCCAACACCTTCGTGCTGTGCTGTGTCGTGCGCTTGGTGCAGTGTTTGTGCAGTGTTTTCTCCCTCACCATAGTACGAACTGGGCGTGCCTCTCCCCTTTTTCCCTGGGTTGGGAAGGAGGCGTTGTTTCACCCTCCCCTTTCGAGGGCGGAGGTGAAGAGGCCAATTTGATTGCACCATCCTGGGTTTCAATGTTTCCCTTACAAGGGATCCTGGGAAGACATGGAGTTTAAAAACACGAGCGCCGAGATGCTCGAGGCATGCTACCAAAAACATCGTAGTATCACGCTATACCTACATGTAATGTAAATAAATGTTCCTGTCAACCGCACCGGCTCCTCTCCTCGACATCTCCCCGGGACTTTGACTGGCTCAGGTCTTGTGGGCGGACCCCCGACTACATCAATATGTACTCCTTTGATAAAGCCGTCACGTCAGGTTAACGTCAATTGTAGTTAGTTGCCTTGCGCTGAAGTTGATTTATGTAGCAGTGTCCAGGACCAGCATCCTTGCGAGCATCAGCACTTCATATCAGCTTCTGGCATTGCTAATACACATGTTCCAGTTGGCATCGTTGCGCAAGTGCAAACAGCTGGTTATATAAACATCTGCAACTCTTCAACTTATGTCTGTGCGTGCAACATTTGTATATACATTTAGCGTCATATCATGACGTGTCGCTCTATAAAAACATTGCAACACGATCACCTCCGTACTCTTCGCATAACGACGATTCCCAGGTACGTGGGATCGGTCGAACTTTTTTTTTATTGGGCGAAATGTTACACAGTGACGCTAAATATGTGTACAAATACATGCACAGACACACGTGAAACAGCCGTGTATGATTTATACAACCAGTCAGCAGTTGCGTAGCGATGTCGACAGCAACATGAATATTAGCAACACCAGAAGCGGTAAGCTGATATGAAGCGCCGGAGCTTGCGAGGATGGTAGCCTGGACACTGCTACAAAAAATTAACTTAAGCAGATGATCCTTAACTATTTTGACGTTAACCAGAAGCGACGGCTGTATCATAGCAGTACATATTTAATGTTTATAAGATTGTATAGTCGGTACTGCAACTACAATTGACGTTTCACGAACATTTGGGTCTTAGTTGAAGAGTAGCTTTGAGACCTGTTGTTTCTCTGTGGTAGAATACTTGATTGTCACTAAGAATGCTTGGGTTTCATTTCTTCTGGAACTTTTACATTTATTTTTCAAGTTTGTCGAGCAAGCGCTGCCAGTGCAAGCTTTTTCTCAGCGCTCACGCGTTAAAATTATGCTTGTCTGTTCTAGCCGTTCCGGAGTAGTTATAAACTGTCAATCACCTGTGGTACATAGCCGCCTGCTCTTATGTGCCACACGTCTGTCGCATACAGTTTGACAAATTACGTGACGAGATTGTGACAGCTGCCATGACTAGCGATCCCAATTCGTGAAACCATTTTAGCCTAGATTACTAATTTTGGTTCGCCCTAAGCTAAGATCACTAGAGCACCCAGTCGTACAGACAGACAGACAGACAGACAGACAGACAGACAGACAGACAGACAGACAGACAGACAGACAAACAAAGAAAAAAGACGGAAAGAAGACAGAAAGACAGACAGACAGACAGACAGACAGACAGACAGACAGACAGACAGACAGACAGACAGACAGACAGACAGACAGAAAAAAGACGGAAAGAAGACAGACAGAAAAAAGACAGAAAGAAGACAGACAGACAGAAAGAAGACAGACAGACAGACAGAACGACAGACAGACAGACAGACAGACAGACAGACAGAAAAAGACGGAAAGAAGGCAGACAGACAGACAGACAGACAGACAGACAGACAGACAGACAGACAGAAGAAAGACAGAAAGAAGACAGACAGAAGAAAGACAGAAAGACGACAGACAGACAGACAGACAGACAGACAGACAGAAAGAAGACAGACAGACAGACAGACAGACAGACAGACAGACAGACAGACAGACAGACAGACAGACAGACAGACAGACAGACAGACAGACAGACAGACAGACAGACAGACAGACAGACAGATGCTCGAAGCTTCTGCAGTACGCAAGGAAATTATTCGCATTTAATTAATAAACAACTAAGACGCTTTGTCCTTCGCTTTGGACACGCAGGTGTCGGGCCTGTCAGAGCAGCTTGGACTGAAACTCGCGGAACTGGGCCACTTGTCTCCCGGACCACTCATGATTTGCCTTAGCATCATCTGCTCCTTCATGTCCGAACTCATCAGCAACTGCGGAACGTGCACCGTCCTTTTGCCCGTCTTCGCTGTGCTGGTGAGTGAACTGGAGTGTCATGTGTTCGCAGATTATCTTATTGGCCTTGAGGGCATGCCGTGGCGCCACCTACGCGATGACGTCACTCATAGGATGCCGGGTTATGTTGTCTGCTGGAACACCGCATTTCCTACACTTTTGCTGTGGACACCGTGAGTGTTTCCCTTGGTTTTGTGGCTCACTGCTTAAAGACGCGGTAAGACCTGATAATACGGGCAAGCAAACTATGAATCGGTGCCCCCGGTGGCACTCTCGTGTCTAATTTGCATCATAAAATGGCGACTAAGAACCGGTGCAGCCATGGGGGACGATGTAAGTGGTGTCGAGAATGCAAAGCTGCCGTATTCCACAACTGCTATCCTATCTGTGACCTCAAAACGATCGGCCTCTGTAGTGGAGGCCCTCGCAGCCAATAATGCGGCATCAGTTGCTAACCTACATTTTTTTATAATAGACAATGTGATGATGAATACTTTTCCCGTATTCAACCAAAACTTATGGTAATATAGTAGAAAAGCTATGGAGACATCGCACTGTCACTTCTGGTTTCTCTTACCTTTATTTTCTAATGTAAAGGAATAAACGAGACAGAGACCTTGCTGCGGGCTGGCTTTTCTATTCTGAGCCTCTTTTTCTTTCTTGTTGGCCTAGCTATCCGTCCGCCTGAGCCCCAGTGTCTTTATTGGTCATTACACTAATAATATAGATAATAAAAATTAATCAATCATTAATAAGTTTTTTATGTAATATGACCAGGAAAAACCATTAGGTAGGTGCACGCATAAATAAAACGATATAAATAAACAATGCAACACACTCTAGAGAAAAAAATCAGATAAAAACAGCGAGAACGTACAGACAGAAAGAAATCAGCGCAAAATGGGAAGAATAAAAGCCCCGACGAGAATTATGGAGTGGCAATGAAAAATAAAGGGGAATATAGACAACTATGTGAAAGGCTTCTTGAAAAACGGAAAATTGAAGAATCTGTCGTTGTGAAAAGTTATGTTAAGACCATTCAGAGCTGGAATAAAAACAATGAAATTGGACTGTGAGAAACATCAAGGTCATGGAAGTTAACATTATATAGACTCTAATCTGTGAACACTAAAGTGTTGAAAAATTTGACAGGTACATGAAATGGTCCATTCTCTCTAGTTATCTTATGCGAAATCTGAAGATTCACACTGTTGAGAAGCAATGCGCAGAATATCTAACCGTGAACTGTTTGTAAAAAAAAAAGAGGTCAGTGCGATTTCATCAGCAGTGAAGTGATGACAATAATAATCTGGCAGTGTTAGAACGAGACTCAGGGTCGTTTCTAGCAAAGCGATGGTGGTAAATACTTATGATTTTTTTCTGGACTCGCTCAATGGTGTCACTGCCAGACTTAGGGATGCCATTTCAGATCACAGAAGCGCACTAAAGTTGAGGAAGACATATTGTGGTGCACAATTTCTGGGAGGCTTTAGGAGAACTGTATTCTCGAGAGATTCTGCAAACACAGCCGAGAGAGTGAAGGCCTCAAGTGGCAGTACTTTTAGTATAACAAGAAAAATTGAGCATTCTATCAAAAAGTACGCCAAGATCACTGAACTCATGAACCTTACATAATGACACGTTATTGACGGAATGTGGAAATGGCACGATGAATACTTTGCGAGATATACTCATGAATTTAGTCTTTGAGGTATTTAGGGAAAGGTTAGTGTTGTCACACCATTCAGAGAAAGAACACAAATCTTACTGCAGCAAGCGACAGTGGTTAACTGAGTGAGCTTTATTTATTATCTTGATGTAATCGGCATACAAGAAAAAAGAATAACAAATTGAAAAAAAAAACTTTGTTAACCTAACATAAAAATAAGAGTGGGCCTAATTCCGATCCCTGAGAGATTCCACTAGTCACTGTACAATAAAGGCGTTTGGTCATTTGCAGCAATGATAACACAATCAATTAAGCACATAGCTATGCAAGAGACTCAAAACAGAGGAGTAAACATCAAAGTTTGCAAGTTTAACCAAAAAGAGTGAGTGGCTGACAATTTCAAAAGCCTTTCTCTGGTCGCAGTAGACTACGTCAACCTGTCTTCTGTGAGAAATAGGAAGGCCGATTTGCGTGTGACTAAACGCCACACAGGCCACCAACTCGTGCAGTTGGTGGCCTGTGTAGCGTTTAGTAGCCTGTGTGGCATTTGAGTAAGCCTGTGTGGCATGAGTTTTATTTTGTGTGAGTAAACTATTCTTTTTATCATGAGATCGAAGCAAACATTTCAGAAGTGGGATGGTCACCCAGTTGCCAAAGGAAGAGTAAACGTGAGTTCATCGGTGCTTGGCATTGGTAACCTTAACCCTGACATGAAACGCATCGACGGTAGAGTCAACCTGACTGGCGAAGGAAACACGGACTCCAACAACGGAGACACCATCACGGCTTGTGAACTACTGCAAGCCCTTCAAGAAAAGGACAGACTGATATCGACCGTGCTGGAATGACTGATTTTGGCCGGCGCAGCGCAGCCACAACCAGCGCGAGCGTTCTAGGTGATTCCCGACTTTAGCCGGCACATCAGCCCCTTTTATGGCTCCAAAGATGCTCATTCAGCGTGCCAGTGGATTGAAAACGTTCGTAGAATGCCAAAACTTCATGCGTGGTCAGCTGCCTACACGCTGGAAAATGCAAAGGCTCGACTGATTGGAGCTGCTAACGACTGGTACCATTTGCGGAGCTCCCAAATTACATCGTGGGAGGATTTCGAGGTACGTTTCCGCCGTACCTTTGTCAACCCTCGTTCCAGAGTTTACGCAACCGGGCATCGTCTGCTCTCAACCAGAAGCGCCGCGGTGGAAGCAGGGGACGCCCAGTGTCTACAAAAGTCAGACGTTTTGCCTCAAGCAAGCCCCGCCACATGCTGAAATCTTCGGATATTGCAAAGCCCCGAATACGAAGGAAGGCGAAGAACAAAAGCCCAAGACGTCTGCCGGAGCCAACGGAAAGCCGAAAGACAAGAACGAAGCCGAAGCTGAGGGCAAAGTAAAGCAGACAAACTCCCAACCCAGTGCTACGGAAAAGGACAGCGAGGAAAAACCCGAAACGGCGAAAGAAACACCAGGAAAAGGCGGAGAACAAGGAAAGAAAAAGGAAGATGAAAAAGCAGCCCAGGACAAGATGCGACACCTATGGATAAGCAGGAGGAAGGCGAGGTTACAGAAGACGAAAAGCCGAACCAGCCAAGCCAAGGCGACAAAATCGAAGGAAAGAACAAGGAAAAAGATGAAGCAGCCAACGGACAAATCGGGACAGATAAGAATAAGCAGGATTGATGATTGATGTATAGGGTTTAACGTCCCAAAACCCCCATATGATTATGAGAGACGCCGTAGTGGAGGGCTCCGGAAATTTCGACCACCTGGTGTTCTTTACGTGCACCCAAATCTGAGCACCCGGGCCTACAACATTTCCGCTTCCATCGGAAATGCAGCCGCCGCAGCCAGGATTCGATCCCGCGACCTGCGGGTCAGCAGCCGAGTACCTTAGCCACTAGACCACCGCGACGGGGCAGAATAAACAGGAGGACAGCAAGCTTGCACAAGACAAGCTACTGGAATAATCGATGGAAAGTGCCCGAGAACAGACAAAAAGGACGAAAAACGAAGAGCCCTGGACCAAGCCGAAGGAAGATAAGCCGATGTCGAGAGAACCAAGGTGCTATTCTGGACATTGCCGAATTGCGCCATGTTGTCAAATTCCGCCAATAATTGATGCTGATTGGCCAAGTGTGCTGCTACAACATATCTGATCGGCCTTAAATGCCGCCATTACAAAATTTGACAATATGGCGGAATTAGACATTGTCCAGAATAGCACCCCCAGGCGACACCGAGAAGCTGGCAAACGCCGGAGCAAATCCGAAGAAAGATTCACCGCAGACGGGCCAAAAGCCGAAGCCCGAGCCGGCTGACCAAGCATCGAAGCTAAACTCTGGAAAAAAGGAGACTGGCATTGTGCGTGCTGTGGCTTTCCTCAAAGTCAAGCCAGTCAAGATGGCCGGAAAGTTCGACATATCCTTGAAAGTTTCACGATATGAACTTGCGAACTTCTGCGTGCTATGAACTTGACGCTCCAATGTATAGGTGTATATAGCTGTTTCTTTGTGTTATTTCTGTTTCTTCTTTATCTTGTTTCCTTCGTGTGTCATTTATTAAGTATTTCATATAGAAGGATGGCCGAACGTTTGTATGTCAAGTCAGCCAAGAACATTCTCGCGACAGACTTAACGAGGACGCTAAGCGTTGCAGGATGGCCGAATGTTGGAAATGTGCGTGCCCTTTTGTGGACAGTGAAGAAAGACGACGGCTTTGAGAGAGATGCTCGTGAAATTATGACCTGTGTGGTGTTTTTGTAGCCCGTGTGGCTTGTATTTTGTGAGAGCTAAGTAAATCCTTCCCTTTCTACAACGTCTCGGGTGCATCCAAGAAGCCGCAAGCTAACATGTGGCAGTTTACCGCCCAGGGATGAACCCATGTTGATTAGGAATTCATAATTTTTTCACGCTGACTTAGAATATGCTGTGAGAAGTCGGCTCAAAGGTCTTTGATGTGGCACACAGTAGAGAAATCGGGCGATAATTGGAGCCAAAAATTTTACAGCCCGACTTAAATACTGAGAAAAGACGCGCAGTTTTCCACACGCTCGTAAATCTGGAAACATTCAGACAGTTAATAAATACTGCAGTCAGTACTGGGGTAAATATACTATCATAAGCCTTTAGTATGGTGGAAGGGATGACATCTAGGCCATATTATAAGGACGGTGTCAAGCGCCTGATGAATGAACAGATGAGCTTGCGTGTAGCGACAGAGAGAGAGAAATAGAGAGGAAAGACACGGAGGCTAGCCAAGCATGGATCGGTTGGCTACCCTACACTTAGGGTGGAGGAAAGAGGGAATAACAGAAATGAAAGAGATGGAGAGGAAAGAAGAAGAGTAAGAAAGAGATAGATAAATAGCCAGCTCGAGACTGCACAGCACGTTCTCAAGCTGTTTTTTTTTTTCACAAGCACTCGTGAATTCGACCAGTATATGTGCTAATTGCTTTGTGCTGTTGTCCTATCTGAGTCCCAGAATCTGAGGCCTTTTAAGCAGATGGGAAATGGGTAGCGATACTGTCAGCAAAGGCATTCACTTCGACACCATCCGAGTCCAGTAGCTTGAAGGACTCTTCACTTTTGCTAGACCATTTGTGTATACATACTTCCAAACTGAGCTGGCTTGTCAGAAGCTTTTTTTTTTAATAATGCAATATATGAACTGTGGTCCAATTTATATAGGTGTTTAGATAGAGTTCAGGAAAAACTAAACACTTCCTTCCACTTGTTGAATGGAGAACATTTAGCCTGCTTGTGTGCGCGATCTTTATGCTTCAGTTCACTTATAAGTTCAGGGGAGTACCAGTGGGGATATGTACGATGTTTAGGTGTATATTGCGGAATAAACTTACGCATGCTACTTAACACAAGCTCCGTAAACTCCTCAACTTTTTCATCAACATTTAGTTTTTCAGTAACCTGTGACCAATCAATGGCTGACAAGTAATGATAAAAGCCCGTGCGGTCACCTCTCTTGAAAGTAAATCCTGGAGATTGGTTAAAATGACTACTGTAGCTCGTTGTTTCAGCGCATACAGATAATCTTACATTAAGTGGTGGGTGGAATTTGTCAGGACGAACAAGAGAGACGTCGGAGCCTGAAACTTCAAAGGGTTGATCGTTTGACAGACATTGGTTTAAACATTGTCTTTGCAATTGATGACTGTGTTATGTTGCAGTAAGAAATTAAACGCCACAAAATCCAAGAGCACGCTGCGCTTCGTCTTGATCAAGTGATTTTAATGAGAACAGGTAAGCGTGCCCCGGTGCATTTCAGGCACATTGAAGTTACCAAGAACAATAATTCTGTACCCACTATGAGACGATATCACATGTTCAATAAAAGACATGCCAACATGAAACAATGTAGGGGAAATGCTGGGCGGTAAGTAGGAACATCCCAATAAACAGTTTTTCATGGCACTTAAGGCTAATTTCTAGTATAAATAAAATACCTAGTTTTTAATGCAATATAGGAACTTTTGGTTGAATTGACAAGCAAGGCACCACACTTAGCCTTTACTCTAATGCAGTGAGCGCAAGCGATAACAAACCGATGTCACTGCTTTCAGACAAATCCTGGAACCACAAAAATTTTTGCCAATGTAGGTTCTCAAGACATGTCAAGACTACTAATGCAAAGAAAACCTTGATGAGTTCAATATTTGTTTTTTTTTTGCTTTTTCAAGGCAGAGGACTTGAACCTGAACCCCTTGCTGTTCATGATTCCGACGACGATTGCAAGCAACTACGCCTTCATGCTGCCAGTGGGGACGCCGGCAAACGCCATGGTTTACGAACACGGTCGGCTCACAATAATGGAGATGGTATGCCCTCAGGTTACTGAATGAACAGAAAATGTTCAGTGCTCCGTGTTGCTGTTGAAGTTGACGGCTATCGCCACTAACCAGACCTCTACGTAAGGGGTTACAGGCAATGAATTGCTTGTAATCGATTGCGTTTTACTGCAATTTTGTAAAGCTTCAATTAGTTTAAAAATTACTGATCACATTATTATGTAATAACGTTTTTCCTGTAATTAATCACGAGGTAACAAAATATGACCAATTCTGTAAAAATTGGCACCTCCTCGTGCATACCTCGAATTTTCGTGTAAACTTTCAAGGTGCGTTTTCAAATTGAATCCGGTAGCGTGCACTACTATAGAAAATTTTCACCAAAATTTAAATTTATCATTTTCCGAGTCCGAGATGTGTACATTTTTCAAGATGTGTATATTTGCTGCTCTAATGAAAAAGAGATATGAAAAGTAACGTTACAAGTAATTGACTAGAATATAGCAATTTTGAATTACTTTTTCGAAGTTGTCATAATATTAATAATTAGTTGCTTTTGTAGTGAAGTAATTATAGTTAGTTACATTTTTATCTGTAGCGTGTACAAGACTGGTAGAAGCACCAATAGGCCGGAATACGTTTCGTCATATCGCCACTGATACGCGATTCACGTCTCCAAACTCGCAGGTTGTTCCTGGACTTTTGGCAAAGGTCATCACCATGGTTGTAACGGTGGTGGTGACGTACGTACTGGGAGACCCGATCTTCGGCATGTTTCAAGAAGCCGACTGGTTATCCGCTATAACCACCACAGGAGACGCCAACGCTACCCTCGTTCCTCTGCAACCCTAGCTTTTTTTTTTTTTTACGATGCCGTACGTCGTGAATGCCTGTAAGATTATGCCTTCGAAAAATGGTGTGCCCGTCTCACACATTCCACATGACGGCGTAGTTACGTAGTGTGAACAAAACCTGAATAGACTGTCGGCCACAGTGATCACGTCAGAAACAAGGCACATCGCATCGCTTAGTTTCTCCCAAGACCATCATTTTTTAATGTCCAAGTTCAGGGAAAGAATACGGGTAAAAGGAAGGCCGGGAGGTTAACGAGGGCTGAACCAGGTAGCTCACTCGGCCCTGTTGAAGTGGAAGGAAGAAGTTAAGTTAGAGAGAAGGAGAGGAAGGTCACGGTTGGAGCCGATGTAGCGATTCCGCGTCGGATACGGTAAATCAGCCCGGTAACCTTAAGAAAACACAGCAGCGTTTTCGTTAGCTTTCGAAACTCTGATCGTCAATCCTGTGGTCTCAATGTTTCTTGGACAGGGAAGGAATATCCGTCCAGGTGATTTGGATGAGTGCGGAGGTGAAGCCTCTCATCTGCGTAAGTCGGCCAGTATCACAAGTGCTCGAAAGCTTCTCGCACCTCTCAGAGTCGTCAAATTCGGCGTCGTGGCCTGAAGTAACTCACATAGCACAATTATGCTCTCTGTCTTTTCTTAATACGGACTTTGATCCTCAAGCAATCGACAAAATCCTCTCGCAAAGCGAGTTTTACTATCAAAAGGTAGTAACTCAGTTTTGCGCCACTTGCAGAAGGGCCGCTCTTGACGTGGTTGAATAAATATTGACGCAAACAAAATGTCACGTTCACAACCCTTCCCTGTTTATTTTCTTTCCACGTTGATTCAATACCAAAAAAACTTTCGTAATTGCATGTTCAATCAACTTCAACAGCTATATCTCTTCTACGAACAAGGAATATTGGTGATGACTCGGTAGCGTTCTCCTTTTTCGCTATATGCAAGGCTAATTAGCCTTGCATATAGCCTTGCATCATTATTACTAATGATGAGCGCAACATCGACAGCAATGATAGAACTGATGAACACGTTCCGCATCGTGAAAAACCATTGGACACCGAAGTTGTCAGTGGGCGAGGGTGCGTGATTGGCGAACGAGATCACATGCGTCATAATTTATCATCATCATCATCATCAACATCATCATGCACGCCTCTAGCAGTGATGCGTGCATGAATCACTGCTAAGGGCCTGCTCCTGCATGACACCGGACAGGCATGCACACAGTGCAGGCTCGGCTTAGAATAGCTCGGTGGTTAACTAATATTATTAATCGATTATTATGTGGGGTTTAACGTCCCAAAACCACCATATGATTATGAGAGACGCCGTAGTGGAGGGCTCCGGAAATTTCGACCACCTGGGGTTCTTTAACGTGTACCCAAATCTGAGCACATAGGTCTACAGCATTTCCGCCTCCATCGGAAATGCAGCCGCCGCAGCCGGGATTCAATCCCGCGACCTGCGGGTCAGCAGCCGAGTACCTTAGCCACTAGACCACCGCGGCGGGACAACTAATATGAATAAGACTAATTAATTTGAAAACCACGTACAAAAAGACTGATATATTTATTTATTTTATTTATTAATACTGTAACCCTCACTTGAGGGTCATTACAGGGAGGAATATAAACACAAAACAAAAACAATACACAATGACAAAACAGACATTACGTTTCATGTTGCCGGTAGTACAATTCTAGCGAACACTCAAACTCTTTGACATTTGCGCGAGTAACAGCGTACTCTGGAAGTCTATTCCACACTTCTATACTATACGGAAAAAAAGAATTTTTAAAGCCATCCAGACGCGCCCAAAAAGGCCTTATTGGGTGACTATGGTTCAACCGAGCTCCTCGTTTGGGTGCAGGTTGTATGTATGTGTCTTTGTTTATTTTGATTTCGCCTCTTATAATTTGAAACAGGAGTTTTAACCTTTGTTTTTCGCGGCGCACTTGCAGGGGTTCTAGCGCACATGATTTTAACAAATTTGTGACGGATTCTGTCCTCCGGTACCGCGAGCAAATGAAGCGCACTGCTAGCCTTTGAATTTTTTCTATTTTATCTCTGAGTGACTGCTGATGAGGACTCCATACAGAAGACGCATACTCCAAAATAGGGCGAACAAATGTCTTATATGAAAGTAATTTGACATCTCTAGGGGCATCTTCGAGTTTTTTCCTCAAGTAAAGCAACTTCCTGTGGGCCTTTGAACACACCTCCTCAACATGAGTGTGCCACCCCAAATCGCTGGTAATAGTCACCCCCAGGTATTTAAAGCTGTGTGTTCTGGTCAGAAGGCTATTTCCGATTTTATAATCATATGCGAGTACGGATTTTTTCTTGGTTATATGAGTGAACGTAGTCTTTGAAAAGTTAATTTCTATTGATGATTGATTTGTGGGGTTTAACGTCCCAAAACCACCATTTGATTATGAGAGACGCCGTAGTGGAGGGCTCCGGAAATTTCGACCACCTGGGGTTCTTTAACGTGCACCCAAATCTGAGTACACGGGCCTACAACATTTCCGCCTCCATCGGAAATGCAGCCGCCACAGCCGGGATTTGAACCCGCGACAAAGTTAATTTCCATCCCCCACTGGGTGCACAATTATGCAAGGCTTGCAGACAGCGATTAATTTTGATTTGGTCGTTTGCGTTAGTTACAGGAGCGTAAATTAAACAATCGTCTGCAAAAAGTTTGATTTTAACCGGGCTTTCGACAACTACGGAAATATCATTTATAAAAATTAAAAACAACAAAGGACCCAGCACAGACCCCTGTGGGACACCAGACAGTACTTTCAATGAACTAGATGTGCAATCATCTACACGTACTTTTTGTTGACGGTTCTCCAAATACGCGGCTATCCAATTTAGTATATCTGAGCTAAGTCCCAGTTGCTGAAGCTTAAAATTTAATTTGCTATCTGAATCATTACGGCCACAAGGAAGTTTTTATGATGGCAAGTAAGCAACCTTAAATGGTTTAGGTTAATTCATGAATGGTAATTCACGTTATAGACCAAATACGAACGACTCATCGTTCTCTAAAAGTGCAAGAGTCCCTCTACTGCCCTGTAGGCCAACGAGTGATGGAATCAGTGTTCCAGCAACATCCGCATTATAAGCGGTCGATCTCCCAGTTGTTTAACGCATCAGAGAGCATTTGCATGTTAACGTGATTGCGCTAAAGAACTCGTTTCGCAAAAATTCTGGCGTGGGCGTCGTTGGTTGTGAGCGAAACATCATCAGCTTTGCGTGACCGAAGAATCGACAAGACGAAAACAACATAAACACTCTGGGACTGAGTGAGGATCGAACCCGGGTCGTTTGTATGGTAAGTGGGTGTTCTACCACACAGTAACGCCTCTGCTTGAGAATACCGTGAAAAAAAAAAACTTCCTTTTCTTGGAAATGCAGTGAAAGTAACTTTCATGCTTTACAAACACACGCGTCCTGTATACATGCTTCACAACACAACATGAAATATTGCCGTAATTATACCTGATACAAGCGTAAATTGCCATCGTGCATCAGAGCATGGGATTATCATAATGACTTCACAGTTTAAAGCCAGTCATCCACTACAAAAAGCACACGTGCTACGGCACCCTTAAGGCCATGAAGGGGGTGCATAGCAAGTCCGAAAAGATTTTATACACTAAGCCCTTGAATGCGAAGCTGAAGCCCCCGCCACATTTTTCCAATCTGATGGGGCACAGAGGCATAAAAAGTGGCCCACGTATTTTGTTTTTGTTTTTCAATACGGCATCACGTGCCTCGCATGCCACACTCTCAGCCATTCCAATATATTATGCGTATAAATTCATGAAAGGGACCGAAAATCGTGAAAGAACCAAAGTCAACAGGGGAGCAGGGCTTCACGTCGATCGCGTCCGGATGGAACAAGACAAAAATTCAGCGACTTTCACACTGTGGCAGCCACCGATGGATACACTCTACCACCGGATGCTAGCATTGACGATAATGATGATGTTAAGTACAAAAGCCGTTATCACATCGTCATCACCTTGGGCATCATCATCATCGTCATAATCGTTTCGAGCATCATAATCATCATCACTTCGTCATATTTGATGAACGAACATTATCACCTATATTTCGAGAATCATCATGATATCGTTTCATTCAATATACCATTTATTTATTTATTTATTTATTTATTTATTTATTTATTTATTTATTTATTTATTTATTTACTCTACCTCTGAACATGTGACCTGCGTGAGGGCTGCTACTACTACTGTTTCTGCTGCTGCTACCACCAGGATGGCACAGGGTAGAAAAACATAGCTTTGCTTAGTAATATAGCGGCGCGACAAGCGCTGGTCGTTGAAGCAGCAGCATACTCAGTCTATGAGCCGAGCCTTGATACCATGCGGTGAACTGTATCACATGACACACGACTTGCATTACGCAAATCTTTGGTAATCAAACAAAAACTCACAGGTTCTTTATTCATTCACCCTGTACAACACAAATGCGAAAGCCATCTGGAGTTTCCTCTCAGTCGATGTACTCTCACGCGCCCGTCGGAACGCCTTCTGCAGCTAACGTGATGCTGCACTGGAGGCAGTGCAAAGTGACGACGCCATGTGATGGTGCCATCATGACTCCACAAGTTCTGGGCGCTCTGCGACGTCGCAATGAAGTCATACGGTGACTTCAAGTGACAACTTTTTGCATCCCTCTTGACGTCACTGACGTTCAATTTTGATGTCTGATGAGGCGTTTAAGGCTTTCTCCTCAAACACAATGTTCAGAGCAGATGAACGAACAAATGGCAACCGCGGCGACTGTACCATCCCTCTGCGGCGCAGCCGTGGCCGTACGCAAGGTTCCCTATATGAAGGGGGAGGGAAAAGGCGGTAAGCTTTAGCGCAGCACCCCTCTCTCCAGTTGGTCGAGTGCTAAAGAAACTGACCTCTCCGCAATCAATGCAAAACTGAAAATGAAGCAATGACGTGCTTCGCACAAACCTGCCATTGGACCCTGGCTTTGCAGGGTCCAATGGCCGGTGGGAAGTAAACACATCTTTCAATGCAACACCTGGGTCTAATGGCTGCCATTATCGTCGAAGTACATGCGAAGCCGTAGCCGTGGATATTGAATAATGACGTTAAAGGTCCGACCGAGTTACGGTATGGATTCGAATTTCGCCCCCAACATGGCCACAGCCGTAGGCGCGCGCAAGGAGGGAGGGGGAGGGCCGGAGAGAGCCAATGGTGCAATGTCAACCCCGTGCATTGACATCATAGGGAGGGGTGCGGTGTGATTAACCTTCACCCCTCCCCCCTCCTGAAGGGCAACCTTGCGCACTCCTATGGCCTCAGCGCTCGTTGGCGCGCGTGAAGAAAGGCCAGCGCGCGCAGTCCAGCGCAGTCGGCAGCGTTGCGCGGTCAATGAGACGCGCACGGTCGCCTCGATCAAGTGCAGCTCTCTTGAGGAGGCGGGGGCGGAGCCGACGGCAGCCACGAAAGACACGCGACCCGAGCGCCCCTCGGGTGTCCGGTGTCGCCGCCGGCTGCGACCGAAGAGGCCGCCGCCACTCGGACCCGGACTACCACCACCGTGGACCCCCTTGAGCGCGCGCTGTGGACCGCGCGTCCGGACCCACGCAGCGTGAGTCGACCGCATCGCCTGCCACGAAAGGCGAGTCCCCGCGGAGTTGCCATTTGACCCCTTAGGCTGATAAATATTTCGCAGAGTGCGATAATGTCAGGCGACAAGCCTCTGTCAGACTCAGATATTACTTAATAAAATGCTTTGC